ATACAACCCCACAGCATACAACCCCACAGGAGACGATCCCAGAGGAGACGATCCCAGAGGAGACGATCCCGATGCCGCGGTGTATGCGCTGCGGGACGTGGTAGTGTTTCCGCAGCCCCCTGTGGGGTGTTGTCCCTTTACTCCTTCTGGGGTCTGGCCCCCACTCAATTGGAGACACCCAGCTGTACACCGGTATGCAGCAGCAGCAGCAGCAGCAGCAGCAGCAGCAGCAGCAGCAGCAGCAGCAGCAGCAGCAGCAGCAGTAGTAGTAGTAGTAGGAGTCGTAGTTGTAGTAGTAGTAGTAGAAGTAATGGAGGCAGCAGCAACAGCAGATGCAGCAGATGCAGCAGCAGCAGAAACAGCTACTGTTGCTGCAGCAACAACAGCAGCAACAGCAGTAGAGACAGCAGCAACAGCAGCAGCAGCAGCAGCAGCAGCAGCTCTTCTGAGTGCAGCAATATCTCCTGTGTCTCTATGCATGCAGCAACTCCGCTTCCTCCTCCCCCGGCAGCCGCAGCAGCAGCAACAGCAGCAACAGCAGCAGCAACAGCAGCAGCAGCAGCAGCAGCAGCAGCAAGAAGCTGAGTTATAGTTATGTATACAGAGATATTCCTAATATGCTATCGGGGGGAGATTTAGATGGAGACAAATACTGGGTGCTTTGGGAGCCTTCTATTGTGCTGCCGCTGCTGCAACAGTGGGCAGCAGCAAAAGCACCAGCTCCTGCTGCAGCACATGCACCCAACAACTGCAGCAGCAGCAGCAGCAGCAGCAGCAGCAGCAACTGCTGCTGCTGCAGCAGCAGTAGTTTTTGTTCTTGTAAGGGGAGGAGTAGGAGGAAGTGCAGCAGCAGCAGCAGCAGCAGCAGCAGCAAGTGCTGCTGCAAAAAAAAGAAAATCAAAACTCAATCCGGTAGCAGCAGCAGCAGATGCAGCAACAGCAGCAACAGGAGCAGCAGTAGCAGCAGCAGCAACTCCAGCAGCAGCAGCTGCAGCAGCAGCAGCAGCGATTGCTACAGCAGCACAAGCGGCAGCGAGAACGAATCCATTTGTAACGCAGCAAGACAAGGGACCAGTGCAGCAGCAGCAGCAGCAGGAGAAACACCAGCAGCAGCAGCAGCAGCAGCAGAAACCCCAGCAGCAGCAGCAGCAGCAACAGCAGCAGGAGAAACACCAGCAGCAGCAGCGACTGCAGAAGAAGCAGCATCATCATCATCAGCAGCAGCAGCAGCAGCAGAGACACAACTAGTATTATCATCATCATCATCAGCATCAGCAGCAGGAGCAGCAGCAGCAGCAGCAGCAGCAGCAGCAGCAGGAACAGCAGCAGGAGAGATAAAGCTACTATCTCGGTATCTGCTGCATGTAAAGAAGATAGATTGTTTGGGCGTTTTATATAATAATCATTTTCGTTTTTGTTTGTCTCCTTTTTGTTATTTCAATAAAAATAAAAATAAACAAAAAGCAGCTCACCCTAAATCTATTTATATTGCCGATCTTGCTGCTGCTGCTGTTGATGCAGCAAAGACAGGAAACAAAGTGCTGCAGCAGCAGCAGCAGCAGCAGCAGCAGCAGCAGCAGCAGCAGCAGTTCTGCTGCTCCCTTGAACCCCACTTTGTAGCTTTCTCAGCTATCAACCAGCAGCAGCAGCAGCAGCAGCAGCAGCAGCAGCAGATGCTGCTGCAGCAGCAGCAGGTCATGTATCCTACTCCTGCTGCTGCTGCTGCTGCTGCTGCTGCTGCTACTACCGAAGCAAAACGTAGAGTTGTTGTCTCCTCCTCTGTCTTGGGCTGTCTTTATGATAGGCTGCTGCTGCACCCAATCACTGCAGCAGCAGCAGAAACAGATTCAAGTAAGAGCTGCTGCTGCTGCTGCTGTTGCTGCTGCGGTTGGTGCTGCTGTTGCTGTTGCTGCTGCTGCTGTTGCTGCTGCTGTTGCTGCTGCTGTTGCTGCTGCTGTTGCTGTTGCTGCTGCTGCTGCTGCTGCTGTTGCTGCTGTTGCTGCACCGTTTCCCTATCTGCAGCCACAGCAGCAGCAACAGCAGCAGCAGCAGCAGCATCAATCTCCTTATCTGCTTTTCCTTCTCTTTCTCCTGCCGTTGCTGCTGCCTTTTCTGCTACCGTTGCTTCTGCTGCTGCTGCTGCTGCTGCGGCTGCTGCAGCAGCAGCAGCTGCTGCTGCTGCTGCAGCTGCTGCTGCAGCAGCAGCATCTATTGCTGCAACACTTTATAATGCTTTATCTTTGTGTAGGTATTTGTTTATCTCCTTTGGGTTTTGTCTCTGTCTTCATCGGCACACAAACAGCAGCATCTGTCTCTCCTTTTCTCTCTAAACATAAACCTATTTTCTCTCTCCTTACGCATGTGCTTCTTCCTTCTCCTCTTGTTCTTGGGGGCCCCCCCCCACCAGGCTGGGGGCCCCCAGGGGGGCCCCCCGGGGGCCCCCCAGGGGGGGGCCCCGG